GCAACATAATAATCGAAAAATGAACTGACAAGCATCATGCATGTGTGGAAAAATAAGAAAAAAATAAGATACAAAACCATTTACTAAATATTAATCTAACCACTGAGTCCAGACGGTCAAACTGAAGAGGGACGCTGTTGCTATGACAACAGAAAAAGTGAGCAAAAGAACAGCATCCTTCAAAAACAGCACCGATATCCCTGCAGCTGAATCACAGACCAACCAGGAGTTTCTGCTTTTATTTTGTTCAAATTATCAGATTCAAAAAGATGATTCCACCAGCCGAATCTCTCCTCAAATACGACAATCCAGCTTTGATCAGCAAAAGCACTGACAGAGAATCACCAAAGGTAAGTTTAGTAACACCAGCCGAGTTTAGCCGACGTTTAGTGGTCAAAGTTAGGCATGATGGCGAAAATTGTTTTGACCGTACAGATATTCCTGCTATAATGGCTGTTTACCAACATCTTTCAATCCCCAAAGCTTTTTAAAAGTTATTAAATAATGATGAATGTACTGTGTCATGTATTTCAGGCAAAGAAAGTTGATTCAATGTGTAACATGAAATACTTTTCACAACAGGGCCGCCCTTTAAAAGTGAGTCCACAGCAGGTGGGGGGACAGTCTACCCCAGTGCCACCACCTCCAAAATCAGAACCCACCTCTACTGACACCACCGAGCAGGAAGATGAGGAGATCCTAAACGCCATCCTTCCACCCAGGTACAGTTGCATCCATCTACAGTGTGTCATTCATTAAATTCAATCCACTCAGTTTATCTAAACTTCTGTTATTGCAGGGAATGGACTGACGGGACCCGGCTGTGGGTGCAGCAAGTGTCCAGTGCACCTTCTACAAGAACAGATGTTATTCACCTGGAGGAGCTGCTGGACACAAAGCTGCAACAAAGGCAGGCCAGACAGACAGGAATCTGCCCTGTCCGCAGGGAGCTCTACTCTCAGTGCTTTGGTGAGAAGGAGGCTCTGATATTTGTGATCACTGAGGCTATTGTGTTGACAAGGATTGAGGATCAAAGGACAATAATTTGAACCAGTTTTTTGTGTACACATGGTTTAAATTTCATTGCCATACAGCTTTCTTCTGAAGCATTTTGTATACCGCTGAAAGCACATTTTACTCCTCAAATATGTTACTGCTGCATTTACTCATTTTCTGTTTCTTTAAGATGAGCTCATCAGACAGGTGACCATCAAGTGTGCTGAGAGGGGCCTGCTGCTCTCGCGGGTCAGAGATGAGATTCAAATGACTATTCCTGCCTACCAGGCTCTGAATGAAAACAGTGTGGCCTTTGGTACGAGGAAAGCCCTTCAGTCAGAGTCAAAGGTTGACATGGAGAAAAAAGTAAGGACATTCACTTTTCTTGTGTTTAGCAACAATAGATAGCATACAAATGTGGAATGTTTGCCAATATTGGCATCCATCGATGAGGAATATACAGTATTTGCCACAGAAGCTGAAGGAATAACTATCGACTGCTATTTGGTTTAGTATCCAGCAGAGGGCAGCATTCCTCTCAAATAATGTTTGGTCTTAATGTCACTGATCCTGCATTTTAATAAACTTCAAACACCTAGATTACTGATCTTGACGATGAGAAACTGGAGCTGAAGAAGCAACTGAACCAACTCAAGTCTCAACGTGATGCCATTGAAAAACGAGAAACTGAAATGCGACAGACTGAAGAAAAGAATCACGTGGAAGAGATCCAGTTGCTCAAGAGAACCAACCTGCAGATTAAGGTGACATGTCAAGGCTTCATACCACAGAAATATATCTTCCCCCTGCACTTGTTCCTGTAGTGGATGTGGTTATGATGTTAATATTCTTATTTTGTTTTCCTCTTTAGACCCAACTGGAATTGATCCTCACACCAAAGAAGTAACACCACCATCAATAACAGAGTGGCCATTTGACTGCACACAATGTGACATTTGTCTTGTTTCTAAATATCTATCAAAGTAAATTCCACACAGTGTAATCAGAAAGAGTTTCATTTATTCCAACAGCATGTCATGACAAGTACAGCTCAAGTATACTGTACACATCTCTTGAACATCAAGACTTGACTGTCATATTTGACAATAGTGTAATGAAAAATGCGCTCCAGGAACCACTTTTAAGTAGATTTACTGTTCTTGAGTACTTTGTTTTTCTCCTTCAATTTGACAGGGTTCTCCCAAGTTAAGGGATTACATCTAGGGTGTTTAAAAAGACTCTTGTAAAACCAGATAATAACTGTTAGTAGAACAGAAGTAGATAGAACTTCACAGAAAGTTAAATCAAAGCTGTATCTTTTTTTAAAATTTCTTTATTGGTAAGTTGTTGAATTTTTCATGCAATAATATCAGTCAAGTCTCTCAAAATGTGGGAATTCAGATCTTCTGGTAAAAAGAATAATACTGCAAATAAAATAATTCAGAGATTTTTGGACCATTGTTTAGATATGTTTCATTGTATTTGAATTTTGACAAGCAGAAAATAAAAATATATAAACCTCAGTAGATTAATTAACCAAAAAAAGCATTGATAATAAACCTATACCCTTAGATCCAGTTCAACCATTAACAGTTAAATGACAAATGGTTATCAAAATCATATTACAGTATATAAATTACATTATGTAAATGTCTGTCCGAGCTGTTCAAGACGCTTGAATGGTTTAAGATGGTAGAGAAGTTGACAGGGACTTTCCCCACTCCAGGAATATTCCCTAATGAGTTGTCGTTACCTTAAAAACACCCTGGGGGGAAACATAGCTGCATTATTATATTTCTGCACAAGGAAGCAGCAGTGATACAACCACATAAAGTGAGGAGGGTGGAGTCTGTCCCACCTCTGGATGAGGACAAAAACAAATCAAAAAACAAATCAAAAAACACAACAACAAATCAAAAAACACAAATCAAAAAACACAACAACAAATCATAAAACACAACAACAAATCAAAAAACACAACAACAAATCATAAAACACAACAACAAATCAAAAATGTTTTGTGATTTGTCGTTGTGTTTTTTTTTTTGTTGTGTTTTTTTTTGTTGTCGTGTTTTCTTATTTGTTGTTGTGTTTTATGATTTGTTGTTGTGTTTTGCACTTCAGAGCCACCATACATTTGGACTGTACTGACCTAAAAACTAAAGGTATGTTCTGCACAGACTTAACTGAGGTTATATTGAAAAACCGGTTTTTGGGGGTGAAGGATTTGATTGGCAAGCATGCCCTTTGTTTACTGTGTTATGACACAGTGTAGTACACTTTTAATCAGTTTTGTCCACTTTCACACTACATTTTTATCATTTTCAGATGGCAAAATACAAACGACTTATTTTTTATGATTAGAGTATGTTTGTTATTTAAAATCTTTGTATCTGTATTTTGTTGTTGGTGAGATTTATGTGATACATTTGTGATTTAGTAACTGTGTATATGTGTTTTTTTCTATCCTTTTGTTGCTTGTTTTCTGTTTACCCAAATATGTGATGAGAGAAATATAAAAGTTGAGATCAGATTTAAGTGATCAACTGGTGGGTCAGGACCCAAAAGTGGGTGAAAAACTCTTAAGTGTGTCAATATGAACATAAAGCATCACTTCTAACACAAACAGGAGATACTGTCGGGATCCTTTTGAGAACTCAAGATGGATACATGAAGCTCTCTGATTGACGGCCCTGTTTTCTGTAAAACTTTGGGACACAAAGAGCCAGAGAAAACCAAGGTTAAGACCTATTGAAATTAATTTATATTGATTTTCCTTTTGAATACAGTTTTTTCCAATTGCTAAGACACTAAAATGACATGCATAGCACAATTATTTAAACTGACACAGAGAGCAAAACCTCTTCTCAAGTCTCCAAAAGTCTAAACACATTTTCTGCTTTACACACATTTTGCAATTCAAAATGACACTTTTTAAATGCACCGAACATGGATCTCTGTATAAGACACGACAATCTGACATAAAGTCACATGTTTGCTATTTCAAAACACTGCCATTCAAAATGACACTACATGAGCTAATTGGCCAATATATGTGCCACCTGGCCAAACTCCTCAATGGTTAATTGTTATCACTTCAATCATGAAGTAAGCACTATGAAAAGACCACAAGTGAGCACCTTTTTTTTACAACAACAATGGAAGACGTTGCACAGAGAGGAAGAGGAAGAGGGAGGGTGAGAGGTAGGGGTAGAGCTGGTAGAGGAGTTCATGGCCAAAGAAGACGACAACTTTCAAATGAAATCAGAGCAACCTTAGTTGATCATGTCATCAACCATGGGCTGACAATGTGAGAGGCTGGACGGAGAGTGCAGCCCAACTTGAGCTGTTTTATTGTCCTGGTATATGTAGCACTGACTTGTTTGGTGAAAAAAAAAAAAAGAAATGTTTCAACAGCATGTGTGTGTATCTGCAAATATTTCTGTGCATGTGAACAATCTGGAGAATTTTCTACAATTCAAACTATGTTAGTATTATGACAAAGCATACTAAAGATGAGAGTGCTTTTCATTATGCCCAACGGTGTGTGGTTGGTTAGACATAAATCTGGTAATATGAATGAAGTGTGTGCCATTTGGTGCAAAAGTTTGATTTTGATAATGCTATATGTAGTTTTGGTTGCAGTGCTTCATTTTGCAGGATATATGAGGTATTTTGCAGTTTGGGTGTGTGTGGTTTTGTGAATTGTGTTAAGTATTTTGATAAAACCAGCCTAGTTTGCAAAATTCTGTTTTAGCAATTGGAAAAAACTGTAATAGTTCGCTTTAATGATGTTTTGATAAAAATCAATAGCTTTCATGTAAAGCTCTTTCTAATGTGCTTCTCTTTAAAACAAACATGCACACACACAGAGACACCCCCCCCCACACACACACACACACACACACACACAAAAATGACTGTGAGCTATAATGCTTGCTCTTTGATTTCTAAAACTAAGACTTGTGACTGTATCTGGTAGGAGTAACAATAAACAACAAAGGTTACAGTTATGTATTGTTCTCTTTATTAAGTGTAGGGGCCCATAAATCAAGTTAGGTCATTACTTTAACAAATCCCGTAAGTCTAAAACAAGCTTAGTTTTAATTCAAACAAAGACAGAGGTAAGGCAATATTTAGAAATGTTCCTTTTCAAACCATGTCAGTGATTATTCATGTTACTCACTTTATTCAATTCAAGATGCAAACTGAACATTTTCACCAAGACCCTTAAAGCTCCTGAGGGATTTTTAGCTGGTTATGTAAAAAGACTGAAATGAATACTGATGCCTCTATGACATAAAAAAAGCAAACAAGGGCATCAGCCACAAGATTATTTCTATTTAGTTATGTTTAATGCTTGTGACAGTGCCGCAGGTTATGCGTCAGATGAGTCGATTAACGACAACCTGCTAAAACAGCCTTATTTCCTTTCAATTTTCAGGGCAAAGATTCACAATGAAATGTACGTTCCCTGATAATCTTTCAAAGAGATCAAGGTACGCCTTTGTCCACATGGGGTCGCCAAAATGGACACAAACACCTCACATGAGCTTTAAGCTTTAACTTTGTGATGATTTGATATGTAGAACTTTTTGAGTGAGGTATGTTTTCAAGTATTTTTCCACAAATAATCCCAGAGGAGAATACAATAAAGTCATTCAAATAGTGTTTGTGTTTTTGAAACAGTGGTTAGAAATCATTTGTGGTTCTTTTACAATCATAGACAAACAGGAAAAATTAAATTGTGTCAGCTTCTTTTTTCTGTCCTCCTTCTTATCGTTATTTTCATCAGAGAAGTTTAAGATTGAAAGAAAAATGAGAAAACAAAAAAAGAGGATCAACAAAAAAAGACTGTTGATTTAAAAAAGTAAAAAAGAATTGCAAAGTACATTGTGTGCTATTTTCTAAGACGATTCTATGAAATGGAAAAGTGTTTATGTCCTTTTGTTTGTCCTTTCGCTATATGGTTGTCTTCGTGAACTGAAGGAGGAGTAGTGATTGATGAGTCGATCTGCCTCCCGTCGGCCGGTGAGGAGAGCTCCGTGAACGGTGGAGTAGAAGAAAGGATGAGTCGCCTCTCCTGCAAACAACACCTGCAAGGCCTGAAACAGACAGAAACTATTAGAGACGTGTTGATCAAGACCGTATATTAGTGGAGTACAGGTACTTTAGATGCACCTCAGTGTTTATGTGTTACTGTGTGTACCTGTGACTGTGATTCACTCGTAGGCAGAGGCTCCATCATATTCTCCAGGTCCTTAGCTGAACAGCCTATCGCTGGGTAGCAGTAGGATCCGCAGGTCCAGGGGTCACTGAACCACTGTGTGCGCAGGATTCTCTTTGGTGTTATAGACGAGTCTCCTGAAAACAAAGAGATTTGTTGAAAAGGCCGATCGTCAAGCGACTGAGGAGCATTTTTAAAACTCGTCCTAGATATAAATACTTGAGAACCGTTATTGATAACTCACTACGTTTTGAACTCAACACTGATGCTGCTTGTAAACAAGGAGCAGCAGCGACTGTATTTCTGAAGAAGCATCATCAGCAGCCGCCATTCTGGAAATGCTGTCTCAGCTTAATTTTTAGTCGACCTAACGACAGGCTGAGAGCTGGAGCTGAGGCGGGTTTTAAGCCTCTTGGCGAACCGTTATATCGCGCCCACCTGTCAATCATGTCAGCTACACGCCTAACTATGAAAAATGCCATCGTTTTCAAAATTGAAATGGAGTTGTTTTTAAAAATTCAACCCCGCTAAGTGTGTGCCAGTGATGACAATAACGAATCAGACATATTATGTTTTTTTGTACCAGGCTGTAAACATTTTTATTTCTGCTGTAAAAACGGCTTTTTTTGCCAGTCATGTGTATGTGACTTCTGTTGTTCCTGGAGTCAGCCTCAAGCGGAAACTCGAGGAACTGCAGGATTTGACACTTCCTCATTGGCTTCATTTTTCAAGACTGGAGGTTTCCGCTTGGTGGTACTAGCATTAATGATTGAAACACTTATTATTATTTTTTTTTCTATCTGTACAGTACGATGTGATATTTTAGATACCTCTTAAGAAAAATACTTTATGTTTCTCAAGGTGTTTTTTTCCCAGCTGACTTATTTCTTTGGAGTCCTTTAAATGGATCATTTACCCAGCATCTATGTACACTTAATTTAGTACACATGGAAGTGTTTTGATGCTTTTCCATATATCTTAGGGGGGACAAACCTGTCACAAAATCAGGTGTACTGAGAATGTCTTTAACTTCTTGAGCTAAGTCTTAATTCCTTACTTTTAAAAGTATGTTTTGCATGTCTTGTTGTTTACTGTAACTATCCTCTTTGGATAAAGCAGATCCTGACTCTAATATAAAAATACTAAGCCACATAGTATTTCTATCTTTTCCCATCTGATCAGCAGTCAGGAGGCGGCTACAGGTTGTTACCAGAGACTCGATTCTCACCTGTGAATGTGCGGAAAAGCCCTGTGACGGAGTGTTTGAGCTGCTGCTCAGTGAGCGTCTCCATGTGCTCCGCCTCATGCCCAGCGATCCAGCCACACAGAACATGGCCATCAGAGCCTTTGAGCACAGTGAACGTTGACATCTTTCTTATCCACGATTTTTTTATGTCTGACACCTGGTCCACAATGTCCTTCTGCAGACACAAAGGGTGTAACACACATAACCATGTGTTAAGATGTCACGCTCACTAACATTTAGACACTGGTTCGACACATATTTTCTAAATGTATTCTGTGATTTATGCTTGAACTACACACCTCATCGTTCCACACCAGGTAGATAATTTCACAGCCATCGTCCCACCACGGAGATTCAAACTCTACAAATACTTTGTTGCACGTTCCAAATCCTAGTTTGTGGACAGAGTTCAGCTTGTGTGCCGGGAGAGGAGGACTGAACATTGTTGAGTGATTCTTCTTCAGGTATCCTGGGGGGGGGGGGGGGAAAGAAGTTCAAAGTTATTCATATGAAAATATGCACCTGTTAAAGGCACAGTATGTATATTCGACCACCAGGGGGCTCTCAATCAAAACAATAACAAAAGATGATGTCAAGGCTGGCGGGGAATCATGGTAGTGATTCTCTCTGCTAAGAATATTAGAGATGCTTTTGTAGTATGGAGAGAGGTTAGATTGGAACACAGAAAGAATTCAAGACCGTTGCAGAGCTGGTTAAACACTGAAGCTTCAGTATCTGCGACATGGCAACTTATCGGCATATCGATTCTGGAGAGGAGGGGGCGGGGTGAGTCGGCTCTCTCCAATGTTTTTGAATTTGGGTTGCTGTACCCATTTCAATCACTAGGTGCCAGGGTTACATATTGCTCCTTTAATCTCTTTAATGCTCAAAGTGGTTTAAAAGTAATATTTAAAGAAGTGGTTACTCTTCTTCAGCAATGCAATAAACAACAGCACAGTATGTGTGTGGAGTCTACCTAGAGGCACTGTGACGATAACGTGATCAGCAGCGATCCTCTCCCCGTCATCACACTCGACCGTCACAGCTTTCACTCTGCTCTGTGTGTTGTTCCAGTGGACACAGCGGACGGGACGATTGTATGAGACCAAATCTGCAGGGAGCTCCAACATCAAGTTCTTGACCAGGCCTTCAAAACCACTGCAAGGAACATACATACATAAAAAAAGTCATTCAATGGATGTTATTGGTTTATCAAGGTGACGTTTTCTGACTCCGCATCCGAAGAAGATCGGTTTACAGGGAACACAAAAAATATCAGTGAAAACACACCGCTATAACACTCTCCCTAAAACAGAGGCTGTATCACTCCTGTATATCTAAGAGTAAAGGTGGACAAATGATACCAAAGCTCATAAGCTTGTTCCCTCTTGTGAGGCGCACTGTTTCAACAATGTGTAAAAGTTTGTGGTGAAGGAATGTCAAATGAACAACGACGTCCCAGGCTTCAAATGTTACTGATTCTTGGAGAAATGTAATTCAGTTTAAAGTTTTGGAGCCAGTCCTCGTAACTTAAAGGCTTAATATGCATTAGCGTGCCAACACAACAATGCACCGCGAGTTGTTTTGGTTTCATGCTGGTGCTTAAGGGCGACATCTGCTGGATCAAAAAAAATTGCATATAAAGCCTTTAAGGAGAGGAGACGTAAAGAAAATAACAGAAGCATGTTAATCTGTGTTAAAGAGGAATTATCTAAATTATTTAAAGATTTCCAATAGATAACAGGTAAAAACATTGTCAATGTACTGAGCTCATTAATTCAATATTATCTAAGAATATCACATGCAGCATTGAGACGTTACATTAATATCAGCCATGAAGTTTAAAAACATGAACTCACAAAGAAACTGGAACAAACTACATCTCAAAAGTTTGTATCTTTGTTTCAGTAAAAATATTTTTGATCTCGGCTGTTTGGATAAATTTATCTCAGTGTGCCAAAATATCTGCAACTGTACAGATTATTAAACTTAACAATGCACAGACTACATATGGTCAGTTACATTACGTCTACATACAAGACTTAAAACTAATGACATCAACCAGATGTAGTGGTGTTTGAGGTCATAGTCCACTTAAATGAGAAGGAGTGCTATTAGTTTCAAAAGCTTTCAAATGTGACCGAGTGTGAACGCCTGAAGCTACTATTCTTTTTTTTTTTTTAAAGACTTGGACAAGCCCAAACGCTTCATAAGGCTTTATTTAACTACAGAGCTGCATTTAACTGTTTGCTACTTTAAGTTAAGTTTCACCATTATGATAAAACCTCTCCATTTCTAAGCTCTAAATCTATAAGCGACGAATACCACAATGAAATAAAAGAAGTACTGTCAACTTCTGAAAACCCCTCAGTGCACTGGGCTGTAAAAAAGACAGCTGTTGGTCCACACCTGTCAGCGATGACGCAAAAGGATGATGATAGTAAGTGTCTGAAGCGTCATTTCCTTCTCATTTCTTAGTAATCTACTGAGTTCTGTGTGACAGGTTCTTCAGAATGAGTGAACAAGGTGTGGTTTTGTGATTTATGAGAAGAGCAGGCAGATATTCTCTGGAGAAATGGTCTCTACTTAAACCACACAAAAGAAGGATTTCAACATAAACAACTGCACAACATTTAAAAAAGTGAACCTGTGTAGAATCAGACTGAAGCTCCTGCTGCTAACACTTAGCCACGCTGGTGTAGTGAGAAGAGCAAGACAGATACGGAGACTTTGAGATTGATACCTGCAACAATCACACTGGGGAAAATCCCTAAAATTGCAGCAAATGATTCATATGTTCACGGCTTTTTGCACTGATTAAGCTAAACTACTCTGACTGCTTTCATCACAGTCTATCCGCTAAATGTTATACATGTGTAAAGCTGCGGCACACGATGCAGACAGTGCTGAGAGGATAATACACTATGGGGATGGAGCGCACCCTGCTGGAAAAACTATGCAAAGGCATAATTTCTCAATCAGCTCAGTCATTGTTTTTCTGCATCAGAAGTCGTAGTGACTTGATTTTGCCAATCAAACCTACTGTGACAACAAGACAACACAGAACACACATGCATTGGTTGAAAATTTTGAAAACAAAAATGTATCTTAACATGTGTTCTTTGATTACAGCACATATCAGGAAACAAATGTACTGACACATCTGTTCAGGCCCATCATTGAACGGCATAATTGGATTGGACGGCTTCATTTCTGTTTGAAAGGGTTGATGAGATGTTGGTGTACAAACCCTGGGAATGTGCAGTCCAGTCCAGGTAGACTCTTGTACATACAAAATCCCATCAGGTCAATGTTTTCCATGGTGTGAGTCGCACTGGCACAGCACTCCCCTTTCAACATGGCGCTGACGGCACACAGCAGCTGCTCCTGGGTGGTTATATCTTTATCTCTCCACCTCTCTGCTGCTCGTTTGCGTGCCTGAATTCCGCAACATCAAAAAAAACAACAGAGCTTCTTTTTTAAAATTGGATTCAGTTTGTCATCGAGAATTTCTCAAATCTTGGCACCGGGAATTAACTTGACCTATTTAAACAAAATGTACCTCCGATCGAAGGAAATGTCCGACGCTGGGCCACGGACTTTCCTTTACATTCCCAAGCGGCACCGTGTCATCCATCAGCTCGTTGTATAACTCCAAAGCAGGATTCATTTCTTCAGCGTTTAACCTCTGACCTGCACATCACATGCAAGATAAAACATTATGTCATTAAATAGTTTATTGTTGGAACATTCAAGGTAAGGATACTAAGTGTGTATTACATGAATCAAGTGAGTTTTTATGGTTAAGTGTCGGTTCTTATTTGGCGATGCTATTTAAATGCACGCATCATCGCAATGCCTTCATGTGCTCGATACCGTCTACCATGGAGCACTGAGGTTTATCACCAATCTTAAAGCCCTAACTCACCACTGCTCTTTGTATGCTCGGGTTGGTTGGTCTGCCTCGTCTACCTGGAGACTAAACCACTGGCATGTTTTTATTCCTAAGGGTATTCTCGATCTGCTTCCATCTTACCTACGGAGCTACATACTTCAAAAAAGTAGTGGAAGTTACAACCTTCACATCCAGGACTTACACCTTTTAACTTTCCCTTAAGCCCACACTGAATTTGGGTAAAAGGGCGTTCAAGTATGCTGCTCCTTCTTCCTGGAATCAGTTGCGAGAGACTCTAAATCTTCGGGAGCTGGTTTCCTTGGATGTTTTAAAAGCATATCTGCCTGTAGATGTTTTAAGTGACTCTTCTTGCCATTTTTGATCCCTTGATGTTGTTGATTTATGAAACATTTTGATGAATGCTTCTTATATTTGTGTTTTAAAGTCTGAAACCCAGAAAATTGTGCTGCTGCCTGTCTTGGCCAGGACGCTCAAGTAAAAGACATTCTTAATCTCAATGAGACTTTTTCCTGGTTAAATAAAGGATAAATAAAAATAAAATCACATATTTAAATAAATGTATCCCTTCTGTGTGTTAAGACATTATGTATTTGAATATAACTAAAAAATGCAACAACAAAAAAAGTATTTGGGGCTCTGTTATAATGATCAGAGAATTAGTCAGAAGGAAAATAGATGTGTCTATGCATCAGCAACAAATGTTTGTGATTTCCCAACCACACGACCATTCGTTATTCGTCATTTGTTATTTCCCACCACTTTATGTCTCTAGCCACAAACATGATGACCTCCACAAAAAGTACTGCTGAGCTTATTTTGTTACACGTGTGAAGTGCTAATAAAGTTCAGTTTCAGTCTGTCTCCTTAACTGCAGCCTTTCCAATAAAGAAGAAATGAACAGCTTGCATTTTGAGCTGCTGGTTGTACAAAAAAACATGAAGTAGCTCATGACATGTATGATGATGATGAGTCCTCTTTGTGTCGGATGAAGGCTAATGTATGGATGTTTTATATTTATCCCCTTGTGCCCTATTTAGAGGTCACTACTTTCAATCTGTTAATTGATTTATGTTTTCTTTATTGTTTAACCTGTCTCGTTTGATCACTCTGCACCTTTAACTTTCAATATTGTGTATTTTCTCTGATATTTGTGTTTGTTCTTTTGTTTTCTGAACCAGTGTGTTTCAGGGTATTTCAATAAACACATTGTGAAAAATTGTGTTTGTTACCTGAACTGCTGAAAAAGTTAGGGACCCAGGGAGGACGTTCATCGATGTCCATAGCCTGGTTTTCTGGACTCGCAGCTTCTGGATCCAGGAGGCCATAATCCTGAGCCAGACCAAATAAAGGGTTTTCCTCCGACGGACCATGGATATAACTTGCACCTATTTCCGCAATGTTATTACCTGTAGAGACATAAACACAAACACAGAATAAGAATAATAACCAATCAAACAACCTAACCAAAATGTAGTTCTTCCCAAAGCTGCAACATTTGAGCGTCTGTCTTCAACAACACATTGAAAGTGAAAGTGCAACAGGCAGAAGGAATATCTCACCCAGTTTGGCTGTTTTAATTCGTCCTCCGCTTCTGGACGTCGCTTCCAGTATTCGTACATTTTGAAAACCTGCGTTAACGAGTTTGCATGCCGCAGATATACCTGATATCCCACTGCCTATAATGACTATCTGAACGTCCCCTCTCACAGCCATGCTCGCGTAAACACGCAACAAAAACAACTGTCCGACTTTTACGCGACACACCCACAGGTCACCAACACCGGGTTTACATAATGGTTACGTAACGCATAACTGTGTGTTCTCTGGTCCACTCCCTGTGTGCTTTCATATCAGAATAACACACACCTAAACATATCAACACTGATAGGAAATGTGGCCTGCCTCCACGACTCGGCCGTATTTTTTTTTTTTTGGGTGCGGCGGTGCAGACAGCAGCTATTTATCAGAAGAACAACATTACGAAAGACTTGAAAACATTTCGATGCATTCGGCTTTTGTAAATCTCTTTAAACAGCATATTGCACATCCTGCAACTGTTTCAAACTGCAGTTGGATTTAGCTCGGTTGGATTTGGATGCGTGCCTAGTTAACATTTATGGTACGGGTGCCTGCAGCGGCCAAAAAAGCACAAAGCAAAACAAATAATTTCTCAAATTCCTGTTTCACTCCTCACCAAACTTAAAGGTTTGACTCCAAATGCACAATTAATAGGTCGTATTTTAAATTGTACATGTTCATATATGGCATTAGTGATAAATGATTATTTATAACATGTAAGCAAAATTCTAAAAAAAAATGAAATCTTTCTTATTGTTTTCTTAGAAATGAGCACTTAAAAAACATCACATATGACATGCTTATTGATATTTCCTTTTCAGTATTTTACCTTAGTTTGCTACCACTACATTTACATCACTTTACAATCTTTTTATCAAATAGGCTAAAGGTCATATGCATGGGGCATATTTTTTTATATTCGTGAGTTAATGATTTACTTTTGTTACATAAGATTGTGCCAACCCCCCCCCCCCCCCACACACACACACACACTCACACTCACACAGACACACAGAAGATGATAGGGCCTCTCAGAGGAGTGTGTGTGTGTGTGCCAGTTGTGGTTCAAAGGCCGTTTTATGGACCGGGATGCCACCCTATTTAAATATTTCCTTATAATAACATTAATAAATAAATATATTTAGCCTTTATCAAAACAATTAATTATTCTAACTTCTCAGCTGCAGCCCTTATTAACTCAGAACATAAAACTATTTTTTCTTATTGCTCGTATGTAAATCGTACTTTTGTGTCAGTATAGTAGGCTACACAAGTTGTATTCATTTCAGGTTAAACTAAATTTCTGATTTCTTCTTTTTATTGTTACTCTACATCAGAACTTCGAGGCTTCTGACTTGAGATACACATGAAGTTAACCTTTGCACACTGCTATTACAGTTTTACTTTGAAAAGCTAACAGCCTCATTTCCCTTCCTGCCCTTCTGTCTCCTGAACCCTTTCTTGGCCCTTCGCCCTAAAAAGTCTATAAAATGAGTAATATTGCTTACTAAAGTCTTATATTACTAACCTTACAATAGCTTAGAAAATGAGTATTGTCCTGTAGGAGTGTTATCTACAACCCTCCTACAGGATCTGGTGATAGATGATATCTTCACATGACATCATTCATCACCAGGTAGGACTTTTTCCTCTCTATTATTTTTGGATTAAGTTGTGTAAGGTTAAAAGCAAACAAGTTACCAAACCAAACTAAACTCCAACAAGAGCAATTTTAGCAATAGTGTAGTCGTGCCAATTAAGAAACTGCCGGTATAACAGCCCCTCATTGGCTCACAGGTTTGTTTTGTTTGCCAAATCAAGTCACTACAGTGAGTCAAAAAACTGTGTGCTTCCCCCTGTAAACTGCTCACCTCCCTTTCTCCCAACTGATTACCTCTCCCTCTTCCTCTACTTGTACCTTCACCTCACATGCTCAGTATGCCATCTACTGTGTCAACGAGGGAATTACAGCAAATAACACATACTGTATATTGCACACTGTAAAATTAATATAAAAATGGCTCTAACAAATTAAGTTGATCAATATTTTTAGGAGATATGTTTTAGTAATGCAAGAATAAACAGTCGTCACTGCGCTGTCACTATGATGACAGTGATTGAAATCTCTGTACTAAATTCTTAAAGATGTCAATAACTATATTTTTTTATTTAGAGAGGTTGTTCTCGACAGGTAGAGGTCCTTTGCCGCTCCACTGCTGAGCTGCACATCATTTATTAGACCAGCCAAGGTTATGACAATTCATAATTATCACAGCAGTCATGGAAAAAGGCTGTCTCACAATTGCCTAAAAAAGCAACCATTAACAGTGGAGGAAAATTAATTTCAGACCATCTGTGACATCTCTTTCAAAACATACCTCCAACCTGTGAATCATGTAAATACAGACTGAATTAATTAGTTCATTTAATCACCAGATAGCTGACATTGGCAGTCTGACCTGCTGAGTGATTAGTAGAAATCTGGCAGACTTATTGTTTACAATTAAGATGTTCTGAGAGAGAGAGAGAGAGAGAGAGAGAGAGAGAGAGAGAGAGAGAGAGAGAGAGAGAGAGAAGGAAGGATCAGTTTCTGAGAAAACTCAAGTGGGTCAAGGCTACCACGCAGGCTATGAACTTAACTTTTTGGATGTGAACAAAGCAGTAACTGATGTATAAATGCTCAAACCAAGCAGATACCAAAAAGTAAATAATCTGTTTTTTCTGTAACATCCACCAGTCGCTTTAATATTAAACAGAATTTGGCCTGTAGCTGGTGCCAAACTCCAACTCTGGTGCTGTGGAGTATAAAATACACTTTTTAAAGCATCCAAAGCTTTTTTAGTAAACATCTAAGTGACTGCTTAAAGCCATTAGATATTTTATCTGACATTTTGTAGGTAGGACCAGTATAAGTTAAGATAGACATCTAAGGACATGTTTTGCACAGGTTGTGCTGTTGTAACTGATGCAAAAGAAAGCAGTGCCCGCTTTTAATCACAGTGACAAAGATAGGTACAAAAGTAAGGTCATCTAAATGCTGTGATGTTTTATCTAACATATATCCCTTTGTTTGGCCTTTGTGGCTTATGTAACAATGTTCAGTCTGCAAAAGCCTTTCTTCTTGTTGGCCTACTTTCTGGGGCAGTCACAAATAAAACAATATGGAGAAATCCCTTTCTGCAAACACTGAACAATAAACTTACTTTCAAGCTTTTTCCAATTGGACTGTTTAGTTTGTGTGTGTGTGCAGAAGGAGCCTGTTCACAATGCATGTACTTGTGTCTTTAAGAGGGAGGTTTTATTATTGTTATTATTATCTGATTAATCAAATCATAATTGTCAACTGACTATGAGTCAATGTCTAAGGTCAAAGCTGATACAACAGACTTTCTGTTTGTGAGACTGTGGGAACAGGGAACAGCACTCCTATCTCAGGATACCACCATTGTGTAATGTTGATAGGCACACACATATACACCCACACACACACACGAGTAAAAGACACAAACACACAGAGCTCATGGGAACTAGCTGGCACAGAGGGTCACTCAGTAAAACAATGCTAATCTGGGCTCCCGTCTCAGTGGAAATCCAGGAAATAATAAAAAAGGGCTGTTTTCTTTTTGGGATGTTAAAGTTATGTTTGTTGTCAGCAGAGATCCAACAGCATTTTTTTAAAGGCCACACTTAAACAGATTTATTACAAAAAAGGTCCAAGTCTTAGAAAACATTGCAGAAAAAACAGCTTGTATAAATATTAAAAGTTGCAGTAAGAATTGTACATGAAATGTGAATAATAGCAGAGATATCAAAGCATTGATAAACTTCTAACGTTAAAAAACAGATCTTACAAAGTGTTGAGATTTGTAATTCTAAAAGAGAAGCACATCGGTGTCTGATATGGTTCTATTGCAGCCTTTATCATTTTGCCTTTACCTGTACATTCACTACAGCAGTGGTTCTCAACAGGTGGATTGGGACCCAAAAGTGGGTCGCGGAGCTGTTTTCACTGGGTCGCAACGTGTGCCTGGAAAAAAAAAAAGTTGCAAAAAGTTGCATCTTCTTTTTCTGTAACATTGTGTTCTGTCTGAGGTCCAAACTGCACTATCTTTCATTGTGGTTAGTGCACACACACTGTGTATGGAGGCTATAGTCCTCAAAAGTGGGCGGCCCAGGTTCAAATCCAACCTGTGGCTCCTTTCCCGCATGTCATTCCCTACTCTCTCTCCCTGATTTCCAGCTCTATCCACTGTCCTATCTCTCCATTAAAGGCACAAAAAGCCCCAGAATTAATCTTTAAAAATAAATCTAAGAGGTTGAATATTTTCAGAAATTTGAGTCACGACTTCTAATCAAGGAGGTGGTGGTGGGTCCTGAGGCTAGACCAGTTGAGAACCGCTGCACTACAGTTTACATATATTACCATCGTAAATCAACAGTCCTAGTGTTGCACCTAACCCGTCCCCTCACACACCTACACATTCAAACAGGTCACCATCCGTACACGTATACAGACACATTCATACTCTGTCGCTGGTGTGATCTTTGCCTTCCAGTTGATGTTGAATCATTGACTTCAGAGCACTGTACCTGCAGGGATGGAATAAAAAAACACACAGATGATTGACTGGTACACACAAACATTATCATACAAACATTTGAATGCATTTATTTGGCATTCATACAAAAACATTTCATGTAAACCAGATAATAAATATGAAACTTTAAAACACATCAGTTCCCAATGTGTGGGCCATGGCCCCCTTGTGGGCATTGACAGTATTGTATGTTGACAGCAATAGGTCAATATTATTTACTTGTAACTATTTCTTATTTTGCTGTTTACAAACTGTTAGGTGGACATGTGTGGCTTTTTGTTCGACACAGTCCTTGGCTTACTTGAACGTTCATTTTTTTTTCTGTTTATGAAAAAAAAAGTGAATACTTCACATTGTCTTAAAGTGTTGATCAGGAAGTGTGATTAAATGTTTTGATTGGCTCTGCAATATTTATTGATTATATTTGTGACTACACACTTCTTCATTTGGAAAAACAGGCCCTGAAGTATTCGTTTTTTTATTGTCAAAAAATGTCACTGATGTGTTTTTTCTTGTCTCGTTCCTTCCCTGATTGCTGCTCGAAGCCAAGGTCACTGAAGTTGATATGATTCACATGTTATCGTCATAAAAAGGTAAAAACAAGATGCAGAAGTAGCCACACATGTAGTTTATTTTTCATAAGGGATAAATTATCTCCATAAAACAGCTGAGCACAAGTTTGTGGTTAAGATAACTCAAAGGGGAGTGAACGTTTGTTCAGAAATAGTGTTCATTAGTGAGTATTTGTCCCAGCAGTAATATGTATGTTGGAATATCTACAACAGGAAGGACAGTGTCCATGTTTATTGCAGTAAAGAAGCACGTCAACCAGCAGACATTGGTCAACACCAACAATGCTCGATGGAAAGATGATTTTAGACTTCAATTTAAGAAATCGCTTGGTTTATCAATGACACGTTTGTTATGATTTTTCTGATTACACAATATTCTAAACACTAAGAGAGGAGTGTTTCATACGGACTCACTGAAGGGGCCTGTTTTCATCCGGTAATGAGCCAGCAAGCGACACGCACATTGGCCTCACATAATGAAATAGACATGTCATCAAAGAGCGCCTTGTCAGTGGTTTTGTAACTCTGTTTTGCTGAGTAGAGAAACTCTCGACTTACTTTTTGGTTAGTTTGTTTATCTCGCGCTCCTCTTCCTCTTTCAGTTTCTCCACAAAGCTGTCTAAAACAGGAATCTCAAACTTTATGTATTGGGCCACCTGGGGAGACAAAGTTTCAAAACCTATCAGAAAGATAAAGGCCTCACATGTCCTGGATGATATGAAATACATACAATAACAATTACATTTCAAATATCGAATCTTAAGAATGGAGTCAGGTTAACTGTCAGGAGCACACAATGATATCTCTCCATTAGAAGAAAAACACAGCAGGGATGTGTTATCGGATCAGTTCACCAGACTTGCACGTAAAAACCCAATAAAACAAACAAAAAACCGTTATGAATAGGGTGAAGAGGATTATCTTTTATAGAAACAACTTTCCTGTTATTCTGAGTCATACACAGAAGTCACTACATGCTAAAAATAATAAAAAAAATCACACAATGGTTAAACAGTTCAGATAAGAACAGCCTAAAGCGATTTCTCTGGTTGATCCCTAGTAAACAAGAGTTTATTCATGGAAAGAAACGTTACTGGTGAATAGTTCAAATGTAATCTTTTGATGCCCTGAGCAACACAAACAAACATCTATTCACCTCCATTGTGTTGGGGTTGACTCTGAAATATGGACAAACATAAACAAAACTTAGGCTTAATACTAGTGAAGGAGAATCATGATTTGTCTTTAGTTGTGATTTAGGTGAACTGATCCTTTAACTTGTAAAGCTGAAAATAATCACAGACATTCAGAAAAGTTCTGCGACAACAATCGGGTTTTATTTTTATCCCTGAGTCCAGTCATAACAAACAGTCGCTCATCTATTGTTACATCAGTCCTGTAAGAGGATCGCTTTCCTCAGCTCACTAAATTTAACTAAACACTTTATTCTTTTTCATTGTATCATTGTGTGTCTATATTGAGGATTGTACAAAAAAAATCTTTAAGAGGGGTCACTGATTGAACAAATTGAAAGAACAGAGGGAGGTGTGGCAGGAGGCCCAGACTCACATCATAAGTGACTTCCTCTCCCAGGTCGACCTCCGTGATTAAGATCTTGGAGATTTTCTCACAGGGTCCGTAAAGCACACGAGAAACCAGCGGGTATTCGCCATCCCTCAGTCGGGTCCTCTCTACAAGGTCAAAAACAAAGACCACAACTGACAACCAATGCGCTCACACAAAAACAAACACAACTATTGACAAAACCACACTTCACTATGTTCCCGTGGCAGCCATTAGCCTCTGACATCATGCTCAATGTGGGAAACTCAATTTACGACCTTGCTAATGCAATTTTCCAAGGCAGCAAGATGAATAAAAGAAGTGAAAGTGGAGAAATATGTTATAATTTTACTGCTTCAATAAGATCAGAAACTGAAAATAGATTTTTTTTACAAATCTGATATGGGACCATTTTTCCACAAGTAGGGATGTGTGGTTTAGTCGATTAATAGGTAAATGTCATCACCCTCGCTAGTTGGCACCAGAAATACCAGTTGGTGAAATTAAGTCTTAATATTATTATTTTGGCACTGGTCGAATGGTATGCCCAAACTGTAATGCAGCCACATGCCACTAGCGGGGTCTGTACTGTAGCTATAGGCTGGCTGTAGCTCTGGTTAAAGGGCCTGCACTCCCCACTCTACTACCTGGATGTAAACAAGCACAATCATATAACGTCAGAGAAAATGGGTTTACAACTTACCACCAGACTCGTGCACCATGTAGAGGACAAACTCTTCAGCTTTATTCTCCACCTGAAACAAAAAAACACAGATTTATGTATTGCTAAAGGTTTCACTTGACAACACTTGAGGGGCTACATGTGTCTCAGTGCTTACCCTAAACTTGTGTAGCAGCAGGTTGAGGACTTGTATAGTCGTCATTGAGCTGTTCACTCGTACATTAGTTACTGAACCGAACGCCGGAGTAAATACAGATGTCTGGAGGCATAAAAGAAAAAAAGAACACACAGAAATCAAAAGAGAACAAAAAGTACTTTTACTTCATCAACACTTCCACTCCATTTAAGATTCCTGGATTTGAACACCTCGAACATTTTGAACCGGATGTCTAATACACAAAGGAAATCCCTCAATCTGCAGCTGGAATAAGTTCAATAACACACACACATGCGCGTGCACACACACACACACACACACACACAGGCTGTATCCAGGAGAAACTAATGAGTGGCACATTAATGTAATCCGCTCACAGCAGGCTATTGGAAAACTCAGAATGAGCACAGCGGCATCCGAACAGGAAACTTCTGCCCCCCCCCCCCCTGCACCTGGACATCAGTCAACAACGGGATGCACTCGTGTGTGTGTGCTTGTACATCTGGTAATGGTACCTTGTGGTTGTAAAAGTGTCCGTTGATTGAGAACCTGTGTGAGCGCAGGCGGTGCAGGTCTCTGGCGGTGCGCGTGTTTGACCTTCTCTGCACACGCATGAAGGAAGCATCACTTCTTGTCCTCAGCAGCTGCGGTGAATCCTCCTCCTCCAGACCGCCGACGTCATCACCTACACATAAAAAAAAAAATTCAATCCTCCGTCAGCATTTGCATCAGAACATCACACATTTCTGGAAGGGCAACATCCACCAGTCTCCTTTTTCACTGATATGACCACCAATAGTTGCCTGGTTTTTCATTTATTAACATTTCAATCAAGGTATAATGCATTGCAAAACAATGTGTCAAACTAGAAGCCAAAGCAAGGCCAATTGAGCAGTTTACCTAAATTCATTTTGATATGACATACAGAGTTAATATGCCATAATGCACCCAGTGTGTGATAAATCCTGATATCTGTGAGGGCTCAGCATTTCCATTAGATATTTAAATCCTATTAGACAGTATTAAATCAACACATGGCAGACTGTTTAGTGAAACTCAGACCCATGATCCCGGTCTGATGGGGGGGATTAGACGAAATGACCAAGAAAAGCTGTGGTCTAGAAAAACCCAGCGACATGTGAGCAGTTAAAAAAAGTCCTTCAAAAGGCAAATATCGCTAACCCTGGATATTTATACCGTTGATCTGATATTGCCTCTCAGGGGTAATCTGTGCCCAACATGTGAGCAAACCTCTCCAATGGAAATGCTTGATCAAGCACGTTTGGAGCTCTAATCCTTTGCAGCATGTGTGCGGTGAGTACAGTAATCCGTATTACTCCAGCAGGTGTGTGTGTGTGTGTTGTTGTGGATAAATGACACCACGTGAAGGCTACTTACCGGCTGCTCGGCTTTCACTGCCAACTGAATTATTATTGGCCTCCCCTGAAAACTGCTTTATCAAGGAGGACCTGTCGTTTCTGTGGGGAAGACAGAAAAGAAAATGGCAATCTGTTAATTTAATTTAATTTTCCGAGGGTGTGTGTTCAACTTTGGGGACGCCACTTCGAGGGCAGTAGCAGCCTCAGCTTTGTCTTTGTTTCTTTAGACAGCTCCTCTTTGTTGGTCAGTCTTTTCTAATTTTGTCGATCTAATGTCGATTTCCTCTGATTTTTTCTCAACGTTATAGCAGAGGGGACCAAGATGACAACAATGACCTATATATATTGTCTTTTGGTCCATGAAGGCCTCTGTATGTGAGTCTCGATCAGGTTATCTTACCGGTTGAGACGAAATCTTTCATTGTCATCGTGCATCTGAAGTCTGATTGGTCGACGCAGACCCCAGTAGATGTTCAGCAACCCTTCAAGGATAAGCTCTCCGTCCTCCTACACACACACACACACACACACACACACACACACACAATAACAATCATCAGAACTCATTGTCAGAGGGGATATCCTGCCGGCTGTCTGCCATTGCGGCTCAGTATCAGGTGTACGTGCAGAAGCAGTCGCTCACAGCTTCAGAGTGACCTCTACGTTCTTTGAGAGACCCCGCCAGGTTTGACCCGCCCTTTTTCACACTGGAGCACGGCTGAAGTCATGAAGTCAGCAAGAATGAGAACAAAGAACGACTGCCATGGGTCACGTACACTTTTGATTTCACAAAAATGAAACCCTAGTCTAGGAGAAAATGTAAATACTGCTGTGCTGAGTACAGAGATGAAACTGTGACACCATGTTTAAGAATATTAGACAGCTGGCTTTAAAATGTGAAAAGTAGGTTGGAGCATGTTGTATGGGATTGCACAGCATGTCATTTTTTGTGCATGTATTATAACAAAATGAGTATTAAATGAAATATTTCACCACAGCTGTGACCGTTTTTAAATCACAGACTGTCTCAGATCATAATTCCTTCATCATCAAGTCTCCTTATATCATCTCTGTTAATGTGACATCCCGTAATACAATGCAGATCTTTGAAGCCAGTTTTTCCTGCTGATGGAAAAGTGTAAAACTCAATGTCACAGAGATTTTCACACCAAAGGTTTTCACATAAGAACAAGAAATAAGTCTTTACAACCGTTTAAACTGGAACGGTCCGATTGGTCAGCTGATGAGCTGCCATCTTTGGGGGTCTGTGGTCACCCATGATAACTAGAGTGGAACTGCCCTGCAGGCAGATGGATATGGGTCATGGAGAAGGGATGCAAATACTACAAATACTGGATGTTAAGTAATTCCTATATATTCTTGAAACCTTTCTGAAGTTAATGACATACTGTTTACGTATGGGTGTATAGGCAAACATAAAAATACTAAGATGTAAGAAGTGGAGTCCAAAAAGCGGAAATGTTGTATTTTTGAGCTGGGATAATAAAGATCTTTCACATGTTGAATAAACATTTTGAAACATACTTTAATTAATGTATTTAATATATTTCCACACTGTTTTTAAAACATGACTTACACACACACACAGGCTTAAAATGTGGGCACGTGCAGAAACACACCTCTATGCATTAGTGGAGAGATCTCACGGGGGGGGGGGGTTAGCACACAGACGAACTTCTGAGCAGATCAGGGTTTGCTGAAGAACTGACTGAGCCACAGCCACCCAATCGGCCTGATTTTGTACCAGATTTGCAACAGGAACACTTATTAAAACAAGCTGCCTTCTAAAATAAATAACTTAAGTAAAGAATACTATGATCAATTGTCAACCACTTATGATGCCCAGCTGAGATGCTCTGCCAATGAGCAGCAGGCGGTGCTGAGAGTAAGTGACCTTAAGGGTCTGATCATGCCCCGCTGGAGAAACCACACAAGAATATATTTTCTAAACCTCCTAAAGCTGCTGTTTGCTTCACTTTAAGTTTACATATGAGGAAATATTACAATATAAACATTGATAATGACACATAGCTGTGATTAATGAATGAAACCTGTATTGTCCCTCGGGAATTTGCCTTGCACCGAGAGCATAAAACACTCTACAAACAAACATTTACAGGACAGTACATAAAAACACAATAAAGCATCACATGATTAAATGGGGGATGCACCTGTATCTGCCTGATACAAACAGGCGAGTTTTATATCAGTAGGGTGACAGTAGAGAATTCAACGGTTGCCATTTTACCAAAATGTTGGAAGCAAGTAAATGAATTCCTTAAATAAAAACATTTTAATGTATTCAACTCATGACACATGAATACAAATAATAATAATGATAATAAATTGAATTTATAAAGTGCCTTTGAAATGAGATACCTCCTGTTTCCCAAAACATACTTTACTAATATCATTAAACCGCATCTTGGGTGGGAAACAGATTTGATATGATTTGTTTTTAAAACTGTGAAAATTAGGATTAAGGCGGTCATGTTGAATAGTTTTCCAGTCATCCTCATGGAGCATGTGATCACTGACGACTCGCATATGGAAACAGAGTTATGACATTTTATGGCTTTATGTTTATACAGAAACAAGATATTCTGAATACAGTCTGAATGTGAGCCTGTTCATGTTTATGGACTGTTGATGGGTAGATAAGAGCGGATACCCTTTGCCTGAAATGTTCTTTACTTTACGCTTTTAATCGTAATGTCACAGTTTCTGAAAAACACGGCGGCTGAAAAGAGTTTTAGAAAAACTGTACAGACAGTAAAATAAATGATTAAATACTAATGCGTCAGTGGACTGAATGAATTATTATGAAAATGATAAACACAGTTTTTGGCGCCATTTTATTAGTGAAACTTCGGAGGAATGGGGGCAGAAGAAGAAGAGAGTGGAAATTTTAGAGTTGGGACAGATTGCTCCCAGGGCTTCATTGTTTCAGGAACATAAACATTCAGAGCAGCTGCACCACTGAACCTTTCCAACCCGCCACTCCTCTGCTTCCTGAACACACCCTCACATACACAAACACACTCACACTCACACACACATGATCGCTCAGATGCAAGTAAGGTCAGCAGTTATTTTTAGAGCGAGCGGCTAATCGCTCAGCCTCTGCCTGCCTCTATAAAGCCTGAACACACACTCTGGTCCAGTCAGACTCACAGACAGACTCTGAACGGACAACACATCATATCACTCTGTTTCTCTCTGCATGTGTCAATCATACACCTGCGGCATCAAAAGGTGAGAGCGCTTCTTCTTCATCTCCTTCTTCATCATCGATCTACTATTCAGACATTTTATACAAGTTAACTTTAGAAACTATAACATCGTTTCTCAGCTTTTTCCTCATTACACTTTATCAAGCCACACTCACCTCACAAGTCCAGGAAGAACATTTAATTTCAAGATATTATGAGCAAAAACTAAGACCTGAGCTGCTTGTTATTAGTTTTAAAAAATAGCTGCCAGTGCTGGAGCAATTCTTGCTGGTCAAACTTCTTGATATAGGAATACTGATTTTATTCAGTAGCTATTTTTACCTCTTATAAGAAAATCAGGCTTTCATTTTTTTTACTGTTATATCTTAAACTAAGGGACTGTGCTTGGACTTGTCAGGTAAAAGTGGCTGATATTGAGTGTTGTGAAACTTTCTGATTATAAATTGGACGAATACACTTTCAAAGATTTGGCTTTATCTTTGGTCAAAGTCAGAAAATTAGACAATTAAACATTTAGAAACACAATCTTTCCGAGTTTTTTTTCTTCTTGTCGCTAAAGTTGGTAGAGAACGATTATCTAAATGTGTTTTTTCAATCTCTCCCTTCAGAATGAAACACAGACGTCTGCTGCTCTCACTGCCTCTCTTACCCACCATCACTGAGACGCTCGAGGACCTGGCCACTCATCCCTCATCTGCCCAGTCTACCCAGAGCTCCCAGTCTCTGGAGGACTACATGAGCAGTATCCAGGCTCTCGCCTGCCCTGTGGAGCTCCAGAGCTGCGGCCACGTCCGGCTCCAGAGGTCCCCCAGGCTGAGGAACCTCTCAAAGGTTCAGATGAAGCTCTCTGTGTCTGCGTCACTTCCTCGAGGGTCGCCTCGCACACTCAGGACTTCCAGACTTTACAGTTTGAGTCTGAACAGCTCCGAGGACTTGTCGCCCAGGATGAGCACAGAAAAAGACTGCAGAGGCAAAGACCCTGTAGACTGGCTCTTTGGACAGATACGGACTTGAGAGAGCCCTGATGGCTGTATGGTGGATTTTTTTCATATACACAGTTTGAAGAACCAGCTCTGGTTCAGATTGATAAAAAGGATGAAGTGTGATGGGACTCTTCTTGACGGCTCTAGGAGGAGTGAAGATCTATTTATACTTTTTTTGTTTGCACTGAGGACTCAAGTCTACATGTTTACATAGTTTTATATTTCTAAAGATGTAAATTATGTTGTTTTAATAAAAAAACTAAAATAATCATGAACATTTTTCTTCCTTTTCTGTTTCTAAAGTAACTTTGTTTTATCCTTCAAGTCAATTTTCAAGCAAAACAAAATATCTAAGTATTTCAATGTTTTGAAGTGCTGTTTGTTACGTGTTTTCTCTCATTAACTGAACCTCTTTAGCTTGTTGTGAGACAAAACAAAACTTATGAAGATGTTGCCATGGGATTTGAGAAAAGGGGATAGACATTTAACTTTTTTTTCTATCATTTTATATACTAAACTATTGATTCAAATATATTTAACAGATTAAAGGAGCGTTATTTACCTCTGACACCTTGTGTTTAAAATGGGTACTGCAGTCCAAATTCTAAACATTAGCGAGAGCTCTCGCCCCCTCCTCTCTAGAGTCGATGTGAACGCAGGTTGCCCTGTCACAGAAACTGAAGCTTCAGTATAACCAGCTCTGCATCAGTCTTGAAACCTTTCTGCATTCTCATCTCTTTCAAAATCAACTCCAATATTGATCCTAGTTTTACGAGGTTTCTGGTCGTGGAGCTTATTAGAAAAATGCCGGATAAGGAGGTTGAGGTTGTTTCTACAGACCAGAGGGAGAATGTAACTCAATACATTTAGTCAAATGCTGTCAATGCTTATTATTGATAGTTTGTGGGTAGGCTATATAACAATATATACTTAAATCTACTTCAAATATGCCCCATTTCAGATGGAAACATTGTACTTTTTACTCTGCTATATAACTATGATAAATTTTCAGATCATATTTTACTTGCAAACCATTTTATGAGCCAGTTTTTCAAAGTAGAAATTTACATTTACTCAAAAGCACAGATCTACAATTCAACAATTTCATTTAGGAAACACTTTTGTCCAAAGCGACGTACATCTGAGTAAGTACAACTCAAGGATCTAAAAAAACATTTTTTTTCCAAATGTCATCAACAACAACATCAACATCAACAAAATCCTCAATATCCCCATCATCAGCACCATCAATCATTAAGTGCGTATCAAT